ATAAAAATTGATTCTATACTCGCTCGAAAGCCACAAGGTTTCATGTTGGTGTAAAGATGTGTTTTGAATTGTATAAAAACGTGTTTATGTAATAAATACCAGTTCTTTCGTAATTTGATAGTTTGCTATCTTCATCGAAATCTTAAAGTAAATTAAACTATAAATAGTTTGAAATAGGAGATAACTTAAAGCATACATGATGTACCATGTGCAATTAAACTGAATATATACTCCAGCTTTTTTAATGTATTAATTGTTTTTCTTGGTGTAATAAAGATGGTTATTATTATTATTATTTTGAAACAATACTATAGCCGATATGCTCCCTAAACTTAGCCATATCTTCGTCCTTGGAGTTAATATCAATATTGGATTTGTTTCACTTAAACCATACTCCTCGCAGTTTCGTTTGATTAGACCTAATCCTATCCAAACAGGGGGTGGGGTGGGGGTGGGGGTGGTGGCTGGGGGGTGGGGTGGAAGTCCGAATGGTTAGCATGTCATTTAGTCAACTGGCGTGGTTTCGAACCCCCGGTTGTAAGTGAAAAGGGGTAGGGTCACCTGTCCAATCTTGTGGGTTTTCTCCGGGTCGACTCCGGTTTCCTCCCACTGCTAAAGACCCCTACGCGCAAGCGAATTATTGAAATAAAATTAAAGATAGGTTGCCAGGCAACAAAACATACGCCCACAGTGGCTAAATTGTCAGAGCAGTCGACAAGGGTTGTCACATATTTATTCTTTTGTAGGTAATTTGGGGAATTTAATAGACAATTTCATACAGATGACATTATAATTTTCGTCGTTCGAGGGTTCACAAGGTTCTAAAAACTAAAACAAGGGCCGTAACTCTGGAAGTTATCTACAGAAATTGTTCAAATTCGACAGGCTTTTTCGTTTTACTAATTCAAATAATGCATATAAATTTCATACAGATCGGATAGCTTTTGTCGTTCGAACGTTCACAAAGTTCAACAAAGTAAATCAAGGGCCATAACTCTAGACGTAATTGACGGATATTGCTGACATTCAATAGGCTTCTTCATTTCACTAATTTAAATGATGCATATGAATTTCATACAGATTAGGTGGTAACTTTTGTCCTTCAAGTATTCACACGGTTCAACAAAGATAAACAAGGGTCATAACTCTAGATATAATTAACAGAAATTTGCTGAAACTCAATAGGCTTGTTCGTTTTACTAATTTAAATGATACATATAAATTTCATACAGATCGGATAATAACTTTTGTCGTTAGAGCATTTACAAGGTACTACAAAGTGAAACAAGGGCCATAACTCACGGCGTAATTAACGGAAATTGCCGAAATTCAATAGGCTTCTTCATTTCACTAATTTAAATGATGCATATCATTTTCATATAGATCGGTTGATAACTTTTGTCATTAGAGCGTTCACAAGATTCAACAAAGTGAAACAAGGGCCATAACTCTAGATGTTATTAACGGAAGTTGCTGAAATTCTATAGGATTCTTTGTTTTACTAATTTAAATGATGCATATAAATTTCATACAGATCGGTTGATAACTTTTGTCGTTAGAGCGTTCACAAAGTGAAACAAGGGCCATAACTCCAGAAGAAATTAACGGAAATTCTTGAAATTAAATAGGATTCTTCATCTCACTAATGCAAACAACATATATCAATTTCAAAACAATCAGATGATAAATGTAGTCTGTAGAGTGTTCACAAGAAATTGTGGACGATGGATGGACGGACGGATGGGGGCGACGGCAATATACGACCACATTTCCATGTGGGCGTATAAAAACCATATGTTGGTCACGAAATGACCTAGTTTGTGTCGACTGGACGTTAAACCCCATATCTCTCTCTCTCCCTCTCTCTCTCTCCAAACAGTCTGCCGGACTCCCAGCTAATTTATGTCCCAAATTATGACTGGTCAACAGTCGGATCAACAACCAATATTTCAATATTTTACAACGTAACAAAATCAATCGGGATTAACCAGAGTTGTGAATATTATAGTAGGGTGAATTTGGTCTCAATAGTAAATGTTTAATACGTCATGCTAATTGAGTCCAAATTCACCCTACTATATAATATGTTAACATAAAAGTATATAATGAAAATCGCAGCCATAAATTAAGTCATAACGTGCGAAATTTATTATGCTCAATTAACCAGCGCATAGCAAAATATTGTCAGAAAAATGAATTATGTGACAAACAAGGCTACCCATAAACATTATGTAATCGCCACACATAGATTTTTTTTATCGTTTGGTGGACCACACAGCACGTTTTCACCATCTAATCAACTGTCCTAAGTGTTAGGAAAGACCACAGATCAAAGAACTGACTGTCATGTTACGTATTGTGTTTCAACAAACTGGATAGAAATATGATTTCCATCCATGGTACTCAGGAGAGATTTGATTGGCCCTAAAAAAAATTGACACACACCATCAAAACTCCAAGTTTTTGCTCTCAGTACAGCAATGGCTAGAGAGGAATTTCTCAGGCCATTGTTTCAGGAATATGCACTTAAACTGGCCTTTGAATACCAACTGAAGACTATGCATTTAAAGTTAGGCCAATTAAAATTATGTGAAAATTGGGTTCACCATTAACCATGTACTTTTATACGAAGTTGCATATTAAAGGACAATTTTGTTGTCCTCCAACATTGCATACAATGTTGACAGTTTAACACAAAAGGTTATATTTCAATATTGCCTTAATCTATAGACTTTTTGTTATTTATTTATTTTTTTGTTACAAAGTCAGATTTTTTTTTTTATTTCACAAATTAACTAAACACACTAAATGCAATCAAATCTACATATTTATTTTTGATTCAAATGCAAGAGATCTGATTCTTTTAAGAATATTTACTTTCAGACTAATAATATCCAGTAAATAGTAAATTTCATTAGACATTGGTAGCAATAATTATATCAGGTAAGAGTTTACAGCTACATATAATATCCACTTTATCCTCTAGATGAAATAAATCATTTGTCAATAGTCGCAAGTTGTGTGAAGCATCCTACAAGATAAAAATTATAATAATATGGTTAATAATTTTACTGTTAGAAAATAAAAGATACTAATATCTACAAATAATAATATAACCTAAAGATAATATATGTACTTCACAGATCTAGTAAATCAAGGGTTGTTTTACATCAGAGGCAGCGGAACGATTTCCAAACTGGGGGGTCTGACAATAATAATTGAGGGACGTGAGAGCGTATAGTTGGAGGCACCGCAGGCGCCGGAAGCTTCCGGTGTGGGGTTTGGGGCCCGATTAAGGGCCCCAAGAAAATTTTGAAATTTTGATGTGATTTTTTGTATTTTTAAGCAACCCAAAACCCTCCTGCTATCACGAAAGAAAAGCTGACCATGAATCACCACTCATGTTATCCATGACGAGAACAATGCCAGTTATAATTATTATAATTGTAGAATGGGACGAAATAACAATTTTTTTTTTTTTTTTTTTTTTTTGCAAAAAAAGGTGTGTGTGGGCGGGGGGGGGGGGGGGGGGCTGAAGCCCCCGCAGCCCCCCCCCCTGTTCTGCGGCCCCTGTACATGCTATATAATATGTTCTAATAATAATTATAGTCTTCACTCTTCAACCATATCTTACACAATTGTTACCATCACTGACAATAGTAAGGACTCATAATTCGGGATGGGGTAAGCATGAATATTAATTGTTGATTCAATTTTTGATGATAGGTTGTTTCTAAGACTACACCCATAATAATCTACCCTAGACAGACTGCTGATCAATGTGAACACTGTCCACTTCCTTCTTGTGAAAACAGTACTTATTGCTGTCAGCCTCCATTAAAAGCATTACATCATTTTTAAAGATACATTATGTAAGATTTAGATAAAGAGCTGGCAGTTCTTGCTATAATAGTTCACAAGAGCATCGCTACCGCAACAATATATGTCCACATTCCTGATTTGATTGATATGGTTCTTTTTATAATAAAGAGCATGAAATATGAAATGACTGCAATGAGTATAATATGACAAGAGGCAAAGAAGGCCAAATTTACAAGCTAAATATTAACAATAAGTGGGTGTGACACCGCCCCTGCGGGTCGGGAGATGCACCAAAGTAAATAGTTGCTATTCTTACTGTATAAGGAATAAATATGCCAAGTTCCAAGATAATCCATTCATAATTCAAGCCTGTAGACAAAAAACGCAAAAATTGGGGGTGGCTCTGCCCCTGGGGATTGAACATGGACCAATGTAAATAGGTAAAACCCTATAATGGATCATACTGAATTGGATCCAAATATGTTAATAATTGCAACCTGTAGATTATTTACAGACAAAATATTTAAAAAAGTGGGTGTGGCACCACCCATGGGGGATGGATACCATTATCAATTATTAGACATTATTAGAGATTCTCGTTCTCGTCACCCTATCCACATGGCCTTATTGGTGTTTCGGACTAGTTCTAGTTTAGAGGACAAGAAGTTTCTCATTTTGGTGTGTTTAACATCAAAATGAGAAATAGCGCCGCCGAAATTGACACACAGGAGCGACTTTGATTGCAGCTCCAAGTGGGTGGAAAACGTGTTTGCAACACCCCTTTGCGCTCATTAACTCGGGCATTATATTGGCGCCCCCCACCACTCTGCTGCACCTCCACTTTTAAAATCCCACATACGGCCCTGTTTGCTTTTTACCTAAAATAACCTGGTATTTCTGCTATATAGCTAGTTACCGACATCAAAAGTTTTGTATGGCTGTATGTGTTGCACACAAGCTTCACCCATTATACATAGTATATTACAATGTGTGGTCATGTCAGAAGTTGTTTATAACAATGTGGAGGAGTTTAAAATAATTACTGGACACAATGCCAAAGCAATTGTCAGCAATATCATTTTGGTAATATCATTTTGGTGGAAGCTGACATTAAATAAAGCTATCTCACATACAGCAAAGAAATATATATATATATACATAAAATATATGAATCTCACCTGCACAGCTGAGTGTGATTTATTTAGTTGTAATGTTGTACTGTGTAAATTTCTAGCAGCAGCTAAATATGTCTGACTACAGTTATCGACTAGATGTGAATGGAAGTTTAAATTACTGTCGCCTGTAAACATACATGTAAATTCTCAACTAACTAATTAAATAAGCAACTGTCATGGCAGAAAAGGATTCAAACAAGACACTGTTACTTTTCACAGTAAAAGTATCTAGTTTCACCCACTAGCTAACAATATGTGTGCATTGAAGATTTTGCTTGGTGAAATTATGAATGTCTACCACAAAAAATATTTTTATCAAGGCTCTTTTCTTGATTAAATCAAGAAGACAATCAAGGTCAAGCCTTTCATTTTAACAAAACTTTTCATCTTATCAAAGCAGAACTCCTACCAAATTACGAAGAAGTCCATTGAGTCAGTCAGAAGAAGATACTGAAAGATTACTTAAACTTGTCCCCTAAATGTGCTCCTACCCAGTCCCTATGGGGGGAAAGTAACTTCATTTGAACAAATTGCAATAACTGCTATCTTGCACCTACCAAATTTTGAAATCGAGTATGTGGTTTAGGAGAAAACGTCAACAGACAGTCCTATAAGCCAATGGCTTGATGAGTTAATAAGGAGAGTGAATTGAATGAAATGAATGTTCATCCGCTAATTTTTAGGAGGAAGAAACCAGTGCAGATCCATTGAATGGAAAAATTAAACAGTCAAGTGTATTCACTCCTTGAATACTTGGCAAATCTCTATACCATAAAATTAGATGAAATCTGAATTCACAAGCTATTTGTTACATATTTTTAAAATGTCAAATTTGAACATTGTGTTTTATTAAAATCCGATGAAAAATGTAGATTCTAACAGGATCAAAAGCAATCATGGACAGTCGGAGAGATGTACAAGTATAATTACATTTATCAGAAATTTAAGTTCAAGAGTCAGTAACACAGGAGGAACATAAACATAAAATATAGATACATTAACATTTAAATTACCCAAAATCTGAAGTGCTTATTAGCAATATTATATGTACCTTGTGACAGGAATACTGAGTCCTGCCCTTTAAAATGAACTACAAATCCTAATAACAATTTTGTCCTTCTACGCCATAATTACAATAAAGAGGCAACAACAGATTTGCAATTTGAAAATTAATATTATGAACAATCGCACTAAGTTTTGAACAAGTTATTAATTATTTCTGTTCGCTATCCATGAAAATCATGACATGTAAACCTCTGGAAAAAACATTGATTTATGCTTTTGCTTATTTGTTGGGAAAAAAACAAAAAGTACTTAGTTGCTCTTCTCAAATACTTTAAGTTGAAATTTCAAAGTCTGCAAATGTTAAACAAAACAGTGTTCATGCGACTTGAGTGACTATTTATGCATTTTACCATGAAGAGCTAAAAATTAAATCAGTTTTGCCTAAGATGTGAACAGCCGTCATTATATAGCATTTCTAAGATAAAAGGGGAGTTCTGTATATCTCATGCAAAACTCACACCAAAGTTACTACAATTCCATCAAGAATTCATTCTGATTAAAACACAGATCCTATTTTGTTTCGTTTTTTATAGTTTAAAATTCTGTTTTATTTGTCTGTACTACACTAGGATCCGGAAAAGTTGTTATATAACCTACATTCTGGATGGCGTGAGGGATTAACCAATGAAACCACCTGTTATGGCGACTTCTTGCCGGAACTGTGGGTAAACCACTAGAAACATCAATGCTGACTGATTAATCAATTTCTGACCTCATAATTCAAAAGCCGTTCGTAATACCTCTGACGTGACCTTTTACTACAGATCTTCATGTAGTGTAGGCCATCGAAAATATAAAAAAAACAAAACAAAATATAGATCTGTATTTTAATCAGATTGTCAAGAATTATGTTTAGTATGATTATTCCTTTTATTTAAAAGACAGAGCTAAAGAGGGGGCTGACAAGGGTGTTATCATAGATTTTTATGTTAATTCATAATGTAACTTTTCCCAAAATTTTAAGTCGGCTGAACGTTATTGATAAAATATCAGCAGCATAAAACCCAGCATTAGATACAATTATATAGAAAACGTTTTATATTTCTAGACATTACATATCACATCACAATCTATTATTACTACTTGTTAATAATACTTACGTAATTTTCTATGTAATAATCTGAAATGGTAAGAGGTGAAATACATTGTATTCTAATGAACTTATTAAAGAGAGATAACTCATTTTTTCATAGCTCAAATTAGAAACTGGATGTATAAAGCTGACTGTAAACTGTCCTGGTGTAAATAAAAATATATGTCATGCCTGCTTTGTGGAATATATTTAGTAAAGTTTTTGCATCAGGGCATATTTGAAAGTGTAAATAGACAATATACATGAACCACCTGAGAAATATCCATTGCTAAATAAATCTTGGGCAAATTTTTAGTTTAGCTCAATAGCAACAGCTAAAGCATGCTTTCTTCATCACAAAAGCTCTGTCCATCCAAATAGATTTTATTATATAAAATTTGATATAATAGTAAAGATGGCAACAGTTTAACACAGAACCAGTCTTGATGATACCAGCAAAAAACCAAATCTTCTACCATTTAGTAAGAAGTAAGAACCCTGCCAAAATTATATGGTGGAGTGACACAGAAGACAACCGCAAAAGCTGTTTGAAATTTATATTTATATGCTCAAAAATGTTTGATGAAACTTACGTGTCATATTTTGGTTTACTGGCTTTAGCTTCAGCAGCTCTAGATGTCATCAAAGTTGGGATATCAGTTGCTGTGTCACTAGATAAACTTATACTCCTCTGTGCAACTAAATACAAATACATATATCATGATAGGTTGTCAGGCATTGGGTTATTTTAAGTTTTAGGTTGAGCAAAGTTGAGTTGAGTTGATTTGGCAGAGACAGTGTTGAATTTTTCAACATATATAGACGTAAGACTTACACACAAATCTTTAATACTTCTTTTAAACTGAGTTTCTCACCCTCTGCTTAACTAGGACATTAACTCATGCATTAACTTACGCATGCCTATAAAACAAGACATACAGAATTAAGATATTGGTAGTATAAACAACTCGTTAATATGGAGTTAACAGATTGTTATCTTTAAAGAAGGCGTTGGGCTTTGTTATCTGTTTAACGATGGCATTAGTCGGCTGCCAGTCTAAGTTTTTTTTTTATACAATTCAATTCTATAGAACATCCTAGAGGGTTGAAAAGGGGTGGAGGGCTATCCCATTTTCTATAGGATGAGATAAAGGCCCCAAGTATTCTACAGTTTTTGTAGTGTAAATCCTATAATATTTCCTACAAATTTATGCTAAAATTTCTACAAGAACATACTACAGTATTCAATAGATTATTTTTATAGTGTTTCTGTAGTAAATTCTACAGTTATCTTTTTGTCATTAATCCAGTTTTGTGAACAGACTGCACATTTGTCCCACTTTCTTCAGGTTTGTGTTAATACCAATTTCTAAAGGAAAATACTAAAGTATTCTATAGATTTTTTTTATAGTGTTTCTGTAGTAAATTCTACAAGTTTTGTGAACAGACTGCACAGTTGTCCCACTTTCTTCAGTTTCTTGTTAATACCAACTTCTATGAAGTTTTTATACACACTGAATTTAAAATTTTAAAATTCAGCCAAAGACCAAACATCTTCTCTTGGATTAACTTATTCAGTCTGTTCGCTAACATTCTGTTGCCATTCCAGCAACAGAAATTTAACGGACCGTTAATAAACAACAGGTTAGCAAGATAACAATCCATTAGAGTATACAGATCGTTAAAATAACTGTGTTTTGAGCAACTGGCCCATGTTACTATTTTGGGGGAATTATCTATTTTTATTGCTCAGATACGATTCCATTCATAAATAACCAATCATTTTATCCGGCAGATAACACCAGACAAGGGTTTTTGAGTTAAGCAATTGTGTTGTGGTGGTACTCTGGTGTTATATCAAGGAACTGAAACCAAATCAACACCAACTAAACTTATTCACAATTTCCAGAATTGTTAAATGCTGCAAAATATAAAAACAATACATTCATCTAATGAGCATTCTACTTTAATTATTGTGTTTCCAATTCTTGACCAATGTAAATGCTCATTGCTACTTGTCAAGGGATAAATATTGAATGAAACTATACACCAAGTTTTACTAATGACAATTCTCACACAAAATTTTTGTGTTCCGAAATCTCGACCTATTAAAGTGCTTATCACTCTACTTAACCTAAGCAAAATATGCCTACGATGGACATTCCAAATCTTAAAATAGTCAGCACATAAAATTTTGTAGGCCCTATAGGTCTGCCAAAATTCATGCAATTTCAGCACATATCCACTGGACTATTAGGGTTTGCTAATAGTAAGTTAGATGCATTTATTAGTCATACTCATTTATAGGCTAGTCATTTCTACTGTCATAGACACAAGCTTTATGGTTATCCAAATATTGTTTTGGGTGAGGCTTTGTTGATTCATGAAGACAAAGAGTATATAACACTGGCCTCTTGAAAAATCACAAGAATATTCAAATGGACAATAACTCCATCATTAATTAATATAAATGGTTGAAACCGACTTCTATATGTCATGAACATTGTGTATAAATTTCATGTCAATTAGATGATAATGGTAGCAACTAGAGTGTCCACAATTCTTTGGACAGACAGTGGTGGTGACAATAACAACCACGCTTAAATGTGGGCGTAGGAAAAATGTCTGAATATGTTTACAGTGTTGATTAATGATCTAAAAATTTTCCGCATTTTGTGACGAAAATTGCCAGGGGCAACTGAATATGCATTTTTCTATTTTGTTTTATGCCCATGCAAATAAGTAACAAAAGCAACCAAAACATAAAATGAAACACATCAAGTATTTAAACATGCATTATGCAAGAGCAAAATCTGCTTATTACAAGTCTTTCTTTAGGCCTGAAATGTTATCTAAATTATCAATTAGACATTAATTAACTTATCCAGACCATAATGAACTCTCGATGTCAAGGCTAGTCTTCGATGTTGGCTGGATTAGATTCCTATATGCCGCTAAACGGCCATTGATAATTAAATCAAAACAGTGGATAATCGAGACTATGCTGTTTATATTAATGATTTTAGTAATGATGACCGAGACTATGCGAAAATTTCACCTGCTTCGTTCTCGGATCATAGTGGATCAATTTGACTGAAATTTTCAGCAAATTACCCTTACACTATCTAGTTTTTAACTATTATAGCTAGAATTGCCATCTCTTTATCTTATCTCCCATAATGTATCTTTAATAAAGATGCATTATGTAATAGCTAAATCTACATGTACCTATTGTAGGTCTTTAAATGTTATATCAACTATTATTTAGACATTCATTAACATGACAAGCCCATAATATACTCTCTAGACCATCGGATGGCAGATATTTAGTTCGATTAGAATGCCCGCGAGTATAAAAAAAAATAACGATAAACAGCATAATTGAGATTTAGTCTTGTTTGTCCAGTATCGTTGCTACTATAATAAAGAATCTACGCTTTATCATTTAACACTCATAACTTCACTCAGAATAAAGTAATTTGAATGAAATTTTCAATATATTTATTTTTCATTATTTATTTTTTAACTATTATAGCAAAAACAACCAGCTCTTTATCCAAATCTTACATAATGCATCTTTAAACAAACTGATAAGAATAAGAATGTAAATTAAACATTGATGAGTTTTGGGGGATTTCCCTTATTAACTGTGGCTATTACTGGTAATGAAAGCTTGTATACATGTATTAAGAAGACATGTGTACCTATTATAGGTGGTAAATCAGCATTCCTACGACCAGCTGTATCTATTTCTTCTTCTGATTCAGATGCTTCTCCTGATACAACTATTCCTGTAGCTAATGTCTTAGGCTGAAATAAACAAGAATATAGACTTTATGTAACTAGCACATTACAACTAATAGGATGGTCACATCTGAGATCATTTGCCAACTGAAAAGAAAGAAATATATCATCAAAACATTATTTTGGTCATTGGGAAACAATATAGTACTGTATAGGCTTATTGTACTGCTTTTATTATTATATGCTCCTGACAGGAATTGAAACTTTTTGCTCTTAAGCAAGCAATCCGGAGTCATGGGGTCATGAGAGGACAAACTCTATTGGTATTCAACATTCCATGACCTTGCATTCCAGACTTATCCCCCTTTTCCAAAAACCATTATGAATGCATTAAAGGCTATAGTTTTAATGGATTTTGTTCAAATTTGGTGTGGCAGAACAGTAGGATGTTAAACCCCATTTCATTTCATTTCAAATTTGGTGCGAGGCATTGGGGTTATTAGACTAATTAGAGGTCAAATACTATTGTTATTAAAACTTCTGTGACCTTCCGATCCAGAGTTACATCTTTCTCTTTTCTAAAAAGCTTGTGCATACGATAGAGGCTATTTGGATTTTATACCAGTGTGTTGTTTTGCTCAACTACAACAAATGTAAAGATAGGTTGCCAGGCAACGAAACATACGCCCACAACAGCTAAATCGTCCGGGCAGTCAACAAGAGTTGTTGCATTTTTTTACTTTTTTCGGTAATGAAACATTTATAATACACTAAAATCTGATTAAGAGCAACAACTCATGAAGTAATTATCAGAAAACCATTAGAATTTGTTTGTTTTTATAAAGTTCTGCCCCATGCTAACGTTTTGTATACAAAACTTTTCATATCATGGATTTAGCTGTTCAAGACATAAAAATTCATTGAAAATCAATATACTTGTTTGTCTCAAGATCTTAAACTCTGTGTATCAATCTGATGTCAATCGGATGATAACTTTAGCCTTTAAAGCGTCACAAAGTGATCAAGGGCCATAACTTTGGCAGTAATTATCGGAAATCATTGAAAATCAATAGGCTTCTTTGTCTCATGACCTTAAACACTGTGTATAAATTTAAAGTTAATCGGATATTAACTTTGGCCTTTAGAGAGTCCACAAGATTTTTTGAAGTGATCAAGGGCCATAACTCTGGCAGTAATTATCGGAAATCATTGAAAATCAATAGGATTCTTCGTCTCATGACCTTAAACACAGTGTATAAATTTAAAGTCAATCGGATATTAACTTTGGCCTATAGAGCATCTACAAGATTTTTCAAAGTGATCAAGGGACATAACTCTGGCAGTAATTATCGGAAATCGCTGAAAATCAATAGGCTTCTTCGTCTCATGACCTTAAACACTGTGTATAAATTTAAAGTCAATCGGATATTAACTTTGGCCTTTAGAGCGTCCACAAGATTTTTTGAAGTGATCAAGGGCCATAACTCTGGCAATAATTATCGGAAATTGCTGAAAATCAATAGGCTTCTTCGTCTCATGACCTTAAACACTGTGTATAAATTTTAGGTCAATCGAATATTAACTTTGGCCTCTTGAGCGTCCACAAGATTTTTCAAAGTGATCAAGGGCCATAACTCTGGCAATAATTATCGGAAATCGCTGAAAATCAATAGGATTTTTCGTCTCAAGACCTTAAACACTGTGTATAAATTTAAAGTCAATCAGATATTAACTTTGGCCACAATTGCTTGTGGACGGCGGACGGACGGACGGGGGCGACGACAATATACGACCACATTTCAATGTGGGTGTATAAAAATTGTAGAAGAGACCTATGTTGACATTACAAAATTGCAGCTATCATATCTAAAACGTCATAATATTGGACTGGTAGGCCTATGCATGTATGTAGGTTGGTTTAAAAATATTATTATAGTAGTCCTGTCTCCCAGGTGACTTGAAGATTACGGAATGAAATACCAGCGGTTGCCAGGCAAGATACGCCCACATTTTGCAAGAGATGGATAGAGAACAAGCTAAAAACAAAAGTGATTTTTCGTACAATCAGGGGCCATAATTCAGAAAGTTATGATCTGAAATGTGCAAATATCAAAAGGGAATGAGATCTTTGGGATATAAAGATATATTTTAAGTTTTATCAAAATTGGATAAAAATTGTGACCTCAACCATCGTATTACATACTTTTACATAATTTGCGTACAAAGAGCAGCCATTTTGTTGGGCAGTTTCATTACGATTTTCTCGAAATTCAAATTCAACCTTCATTATGGTGGAATGGGGATATATTTAAATGGTTTTTAAAATCAAATGTAAAAATTGTGACCTCTAGAGAATCCACAAGCTAAAAAACACGATTTTTCGTACAATCAGGGGACAAAATCCAGGAAGTTACGGTCTGATATGCGCAAATAGCGAAAGGAACATATATTTTAAGTTTTATCAAAATCTGATAATAACTGTGACTTCTAGAGTGTCCACAACTTTGGTATTACATATACTCTTCAAAAAAAAGTAGGGGATATTCAGAAACAATACAAAACTGCGGAAATGCACTGCTGTTTTTATTAGAGGTAACCAGTGTATGTTAATAACAGGCCAATTGCCTACACATGAACATAAACAGTTCATATGGGTGGCTTATCTGATGGCCCCAGCGTGCATGCAAATGGGCTGCATGTAGCCGATTTCTAATCGTTTGGAGTGTAAATTGAATTCCTGTAACTTGGTACAAGGTTACAGAAAGCTGATTGGACATTTGTCCTCGATTTCGCATGACCTGTGTACGAATGTATCGATCCTGGACTTGTGTAGTGGCTTTTGGATGACCTGAACGAGGTCTATCATCAGCATTGTGTGTTTGTTGGTACCGGTTCCTCGGTCTGCTGATCACATACTGTGACACATTAAGCATGTTGGCTACTGCTCACTGTGTAGAACCCATTTGAAGCATGCCAATAGCATGTAGGTGTTCATCATGTTGAAGACGTCTCATTGTAAATTAAACGCAACACACTAAAGCAAAAATACGCTAAACAGTAAATCTTATGCAAGAACCGATAGGAAAGCAAACATGGATAGGATAAACCAGCACGCGACAGTTTTCATCAACCCTTCCTTGAAGTGTCAAATTTGACAATAAACCTCTCCCACGTGTATGGCGCTATTGCGTGTCCCGCGTGCAGCTCAGTGGTTCTGTTGGGACGATAAGTTCTTCATCTGTGAACATACTCTCAAAGCATGTCAAGTGTCCATGACTATTTATCATATCCCAACCTGCATAGGTATTTGCATTTCAATATACCCAACTTTTTTTGAAGAGTATACTTTTACACAATTTGTGTACAAGGAGCGGCCATTTTGTCTGGCAGTTTCGGTCAGATTTTTACGAAATTCATACTTAACCTTCATTGATGTGTAACGGTGATATATTTAAACGCTTTTTTAAAATTGAATACAAATTGTGATTTCAAGTGGGACCACAAGCTAAAAACGTGATTTCATACAAAAAAGGGTCATAATTCCGGAAGTTACGATCCGATATGCACGAGGGGGGGGGGCGTTTTGTCTGCCAGTTTTGTTCCAATTTTCACAAAATTTGAAGTCAACCATCATTAGGCTGTAACGGTTATATACTCACTCGTTTTTTTAAATCAAATAAAAATTGTGACCTCTAGAGGCACCACAAGCTAAAAAGACAATTTTTCGTATAATCAAGGGCCATAATTAAGGAAGTTACGATCCGATATGCGAGAATATCAAAAGGAACAAAGCTCTTTGGGTTATTAACATGTATTTCAAGTTTCATCAAAATCAGATCAAAATTGTGACCTCTCGTGGGTCCAGAACCTTGATATACCTTATGTTTACACTATTTGCGTACAAGGGGCGGCCATTTTGTCAGACAGTTTTGGTCCTATATTTAAGAAATTCGAACTCAACCATTATTACGTTGTAACGGTGATATATACCAACGGTTTTTCAAATAGGATAATGATTGTGACCTCTAGAGGGACCACAAGCTAAAAACGCAATTTTTTGTACAATCAGGGACCAAAATTCAGGAAGTTACAATCCGATATGCGCGAGTATCAAGGGGAATCAACATCTTTGGGTTATAAACATGCATTTCAAATTTCAACAAAATTGGATGAAAATTGTGACCTCTAGAGTGTCCACAAGCTAAAAATGTGATTTTTCGTACAATCAAGGACCATAATCCATACATCGAAAGGAACAGAGATCTTTGGGAGATAGACCTATATTTTAAGTTTGGTCAAAATTGGATAAAAATTGTGACCTGTAGAATGTTCACAAACAAATTATGGACGGACGGATTTCCGGACTACAGGTGGCGATGGCATAATACGTCCACATGAAAATGTGGGCGTATAAAAATGGGGTTTAACATGCTACTTTCCTGCACCAACTGGACTAATGAAATTGGACATCTGCCATACAGTGTGCTATGAAAATTTTGGCCAAACAGCGTCACTACTAGTGATGGTCCGATATGGCTACTCCCAGTTTCACCGATATCAGATATTGACAGCGAAATATATCGTCCGATACAGATACAATTACCGATAGTGGTGGATATAAAACTATTACATTAAAATACCTCGAATGTCATGATAATCTATGTAGTTACATGTCATTGTTAGTCGGAAAACGCCTGGTACTATTTTACCTCAGGAATCAAACAGGAACGGAATGGGGTTTTTTTAAAAAAGAAATAATTGGGTCACATCTTCTCCGCAGTCAAATATACACACCATCTATTGTGTACTAAAATTATTTGCTGTATGAATAATAATTAAAGTCAAGATTATCAGTTATTAAATGTTGACTACGATATAATTCCCAAACTTGGGCGGCACATATTATATGTATGTCACAATGGTTCATGCGATAATGATACAACATCAAAGCGATAGCTTCCTGTCTGTCAACAGTGGCAATCACATGATATTCTCCCGCCATTCCCCCTCTTCCATCCTTCATTTGAATCACGCATACACCAGTACCGTAGTGAGTTGGATAAAGTGAAGAAAAAAAATGCTGCGGAGTAGTAAGTCTTGGACCTATTTCACATTGAGCGACAGTGACCAAAGCAGGACCATTGTTTATTTCATAGTTTATAAATTTTAAATAAAAAACAAAAGCATAAATAGGTATTATTTTTCGAGTTTGTGATCTCTTATTTCTGGTATAAGTCCACTGCATGATGACGTATGATAACAGCATGCGTTCTCTAATTCTATCTTTTAGATGGCTGATTGTCGGCCAATTACCAATGTTGAAACCTATTATCGGACCATCACTAGACATTCTAATCTTATTTCGAATTCCAACTTCCAAGGGGTAAACCTGACCTCAGCGATGAGACACTGTTCCTTGTCTTGCCCTCCACCCTGCGCCACATACAAGGGAAATAGTTTAAATACATGCCGGAAAACCAGAGGAACTTTAAACTTGACCAAGTGACGAATACCTCTATATAGTGTAGCACGATTTTTCCCAAATCCAGCATTATTTTAACTCATGATAATTTATTTCGCATTTTTGACACAAAATGCTACGAATTTAAATCAAAAGTGACAATTTGGCGTAAAGAACGGTATTATCATATTACGAAATATCGATATAAATTTATTATGATATGAGTTGAAATAATTGTGAATTCGGGTGGATTTAGATTATTATTTAAAGGAGCTAAATCGCTAATATTTGGGACCTACAAATTGACACAAATGGGTCGCAATGTATATAAATCAAAAGTGACAATTTGGCGTAAAGAACGGTATTATCATATTACGAAATATCGATATAAATTTATTATGATATGAGTTGAAATAATTGTGAATTCGGGTGGATTTAGATTATTATTTAAAGGAGCTAAATCGCTAATATTTGGGACCTACAAATTGACACAAATGGGTCGCAATGTATATAACAATGTAATATGAATGTAAATAAACTGATTTACATTCAATCGTTTCCGTTTTTACTCTAATTTCAAGGCAGTTATGTTCGGCGAAATACGCCAGAAGTCTCAATCCAATGGCAATCTCTATTGTCTGGTTATTTTAGCCTACACCGATAGTATTTATTGCGCATGTTCTCCAGATAACAATATGGGGTCACGGTTTGACATGACTTGTGGAACATGTTTAACCTCGTTCTTCGAGTCGCTTGCTACAAATTGCGCTGAAACGCATTATCGTACACAATTTGGTACCAATCGTAAAATGTTTATTTTGTCTTAAATATTAGATATCAGAAGCCTATCTTTTCCCGGTAAGATCACAACTCCAATGTTGATTAAAATTGACAAATAATTCGTGTTTTCATTGTCGAAGGTTTTGAATGATATTGAGTTGTAGACTTTACTCCTTAGCTACTTTAAAGCGCTAATTTCATATTTTCTAAGAAAGTGAAAACATAATTATTTCTATGTCTTTTGCTCAATAGGTTGTCAACTCACTATTATACGATCATATGTATTATTCTCCCACTTAAAAATCCTCTGACCCCGGAAATAATAACACAATATCCTCCCTTGTTTTTTCTATTTCCCCCCATGGAATAGCTATCTTCAAACGTTTGAACTTGAAGTTGAAAATGATATTTTTGTCAATTTCTCAAATGGCAATAGTGAATTATAGGATTAATAGGATTATTCTTTAACAAGGTAGGACTGTTTATAGATAGTAAGATACCATCTATTTTAAGGCTTTATTTTAATAAATTTTAAAAATATAACTTATTAAAATTAAAAATATGAAATTGCAACTTTAATATTAGGCCTAATTATGGGCCTACTAAACAATGAAAACATAATAAAGCCTCACTGTTTCCTCGTCAGATTCTGATGCTTCTCCTTGTACCACTGTTTTGTACTCTTCACCTAGACGATTACTCATAATTTATTAAATAAAAGCGATAAAAAAAACCCAATAAAACAAATAATACCGTAATTGCTTTCCTGCAAATTTAAAATGCTTGAGTCTTGTGAGTTGATGGTAAATGAATTATGAAGAAAGAAAATGTTATTCGGATATCGCCAAAATAATATTTTTTTTTTAACGTTTAATGATTTTTAAAAGAATAGGAAATGAGTCTTATTCAAGTTATTGCGGTATTTAGAGACGAGTGTCATCGGTAATTGAAATAATTCCGGCCTGCTATCTGAGACTAAAAGAGGAGTAACAATTTGCAACAAATATAACTTATTAAAATTAAAAATATGAAATTGCAACTTTAATATTAGGCCTAATTATGGGCCTACTAAAAAAACTAAACAATGAAAACATAATAAAGCCTCACTGTTTCCTCGTCAGATTCTGATGCTTCTCCTTGTACCACTGTTTTGTACTCTTCACCTAGACGATTACTCATAATTTATTAAATAAAAGCGATAAAAAAAACCCAATAAAACAAATAATACCGTAATCCTTTTTATTTTTGTTATGGGTTACGCCCCTTTTTTCATAAATGTTGAAATATATAATAAAGTGAAACGAAACCATTTTCTACTTTTATTTAAATAAGCTTAACATCGTAGACAATCAGTAATCAATGATTATATAAGAAACATATGAATATCAACTTCACAAGAATCTACTATAATTTATAAATTAAGACATGCGTTCTGGGTGTACATTAAAAAACATCGTGAAAGAATTTTGTTAATTGGTTGGAGATATTTCGTCACATATCGCTAATCGTTGATTCGGGATTGAGTTGGTACGGTATCTATTTCTGTGATGATAAAAAAGGAAAGACACATATTTTAAATTAAATTCCTTTTCATGAACGACATAATATTATGTTCATTAATTCTTGGTACAATATCTTAATACGCAAAATGTCACTTTATCGACCTGGTTTACGAAAGAACTTTTACATTGATCTGTGGTGGACGAATTATCCTCTTAAGAAAACAATATCCGGTTTACTAAAAATAGTTTTAAATAGGCCTACTCATTTCATTGAATCAATTTATTTTTTTTTATTTGTTAATAGAATTCTGTTCTGTTTTCGCCTAATGCCTCGCCGAAGAGATCGCCGTTCCCCGAGCTACGAAAGAGATAAACATCGAGAAAAACATCGAAGTCGACGTACAAGGTCGCCTAGTCCACAGGAAAATAACCATAGTGTCCATAGTGTAAGAAAGTTGTAATTACGATTTTTGACTTGATTGATATGATGATGATATTCTTGGAGTTGGATCTAACATAGTCATAGGCTAACCTTGTCTACTGTCTGCGCCGCCATAAAAAAATAACCTGATTTTTTCCCGTATGGACAAGTTTTTATAAACTTATCTATTTGTTTGAAATCACCTCCGGTTAAAAATCCGTTACTTTAGAGTTAGGATTTGCTGAGATAAACTAAACACATTTATAAACCATGCTTGCTTGAATCATTAGAACGTACAGGAGACGCATGTTTAGACCGTCCTTGCTTTCCTGCAAATTTAAAATGCTTGAGTCTTGTGAGTTGATGGTAAATGAATTATGAAGAAAGAAAATGTTATTCGGATATCGCCAAAATAATATTTTTTTTTTTAACGTTTAATGATTTTTAAAAGAATAGGAAATTAGTCTTATTCAAGTTATTGCGGTATTTAGAGACGAGTGTCATCGGTAATTGAAATAATTCCGGCCTGCTATCTGAGACTAAAAGAGGAGTAACAATTTGCAACAAAGATGACTTCGCTTTGGGAGTTTCATGTAAGTTTTCCGCCTTTATTATTTTATTTGCAGACTGTTATCACAATTTTGTAGCTAGTTCTTGTTCACACGATTGCAGTTTGTACTTACATCCTCAAAAATACCCTATAAACCTATGACGGTGATGTCTAGCCAAAGATTGTAGTGGTTACTATGTATACTGTTCTGACGTGTTGTCAACAAAAATGTCAATTTTGGCATAATGATTAGGCCTATATTTCAGCTGTTATTTTCGACTCCCTCATTGTATTTCAAGCGATTTCTTGTGACTAAGGACTTATTAGGTAGATTATGCTAGTCAGACTTTGATCAAAGTGTGATTTAAAAAGAATTCCATGTGATTAAGTAAAAATTGGTGAGTGAAGCTAGCCTACCGAAAAAAGAAAACAAATTTGTACATATTGTCACTGCCTAGGTACGAATATAATTGGATACCTGAAAACGGTTTTAATGAATTTATGACTGACTTTCTACTGTTTTATGTTTTTCAGAAATGTGTTTTCATAAAAGATGATGTTTGAAAATGGTGTGATAGTCATGTGTGCAGAATTTCTTGAAGATATTTGCCAATAAAGATTTGAGTTGAGGAAGATCATTGAGCACAAAAATAAAACAAAGTACACTGTAATAATTATTCGCAGTAATTCGCCGTGATAATTTAGAGGGGGTTTATTGTCCATTCAACCACACTTTTCGACCAATCTAATTTGTGCTACAATATATATACTGCTTGATGTTAAAGAACTAATTAACCTCTTTTAATCTACTAATCTAACTAACTCAAGATTATCCATAAAAAAATCTTCAACATTAAATATTCAATTCTTTCACTGCAATCAATATTAATGTTAACTTACACTTAAAATATCGGCTCCTGATTCAATGAATATTTTAAAATCGGTAAGCGACATCGTTTTCTCTATAATAAATATAATCTTGAGTCTTGTGTGTCATTTATATTAGTGAACGGCGCAAATCATATCAAACCAGTCCATGTAGAAGTGAAATGTCAAACCATACTCCTAATGGGAGAAAGAGAAATGGGGTTTAATGTCCACTCGACACAAACTAGGTCATTTCAGGACTAACATGGTTCAATTTTATTTCCACAATTTGCTTGCGCGTAGGGGTCTTTAGCAGTGGGAGGAAACCGGAGGGCCCAGAGAAAACCCACAAGGCTGTTGTGCAGGAAGAGGTTTTCTATAGGAGGTTGAATTTTTGCCAAAGTCAGTTTATCATCTAACATTTTTCACAAATACAATGTAGGCTTTACAAAATCAGAGATAGCATGTTAGTAAGAGTAAGACAAGAGTTATTCAAACTAATTTTAAAAGCATTTGGTGAGCTTAAATGTGGAAATAGGGTCTGATCTGATTATTTCAAATGTGGATTGCTTAGTTCCATACCAGTCTGTGAATTTAAATTTGGTAAAGTTGAGTCTGGTTTCCATACTATAACTATATAAGTAATTTAAAGGTCACCGGAAAAGCATCAATTTTTTTTTAAAAAATGCAAGTAATAATGTCAACATATCCTTTCCATAAGTATAACCCGAACCCGAATGTCAATATTACCTGCAAAAGGTAAATTTCAACATAAGTAATTTCCGCCGTTCTCCGTTGGTAGTCGTAACATTCCGTCCCTAAGCAATCCGTGACGTCATTTTAGTCCTTCTGCACATAGAAATATAGACTAGAATATGAGCAGAAGGACTAAAATGACGTCACAGATACGGAAAGTTACGACTACCCACGAAGAATGTCGGAAATTACTAATGTTGAAATTTACCTGTTGCAGGTAATATTGACATTCGGGTTCGTGTTATACTTATGGAAAGGATATGTTGACATAATTACTTGCTTTATTTGAAAAAGTTATGAACCTTTTCCGGTGACCTTTTAAGTCCATTTTCTGCCAGTGTTAATTAGACATAAATTATGCAAGAGATAAATCTGCCCATTGTGGGTCTTTCTTTAGACTTGAAATGTTATGTAAACTATTAATTAGACATTTATTAAAGATACTTTCCTGCATACAAACTGTGTGATTTGATGATATATTTGGACTAAAAACACATTCAAACTAATTAATCTATCAAAAATTTGCTTCAAATCCCTCTCAAAATTATGTCTTTGCTGGCGCAATCTGATTAAAACACAGATCCTATTTCGTTTCGTTATTATAGTTCAAAATTTCGTTTTACTTGTCTCTACTACACTAGGATCTGGAAGAGTTGTTATCATTGACGTGTTCTGAATGATGTGAGGGATTAGCCAATGAAACAGTCTGTGACAGTGACTTCTTGGCTTTTTAATGCACGGAACTGTGGGTAAACCACTAGAAACATCAACACTGATTGATTAATCAATGTCTGAGGTCATAGGGTCAAAAGCTGCTCGTTTGACCTCTTGACGTGAACTCCCACTATAACTTGTCAGATTCTCAGGTAGTGTAGGCAATCGAAAGTGTAAAAAAACGTAACGAAATATAGATCTGTATTTTAATCAGATTGGGCTGGGCGATACTCCAAGATCAGTTGTTAGACGCGATGTCTGTCACCTTTCATTACTCACTTTCCATTTACCATACATATTGAGGCCTAAAAAAATTCTTAATTATTTTCTGTGAACTTATTTCATTGCAGTCTTTTGTACGTTGACACCCCTCAGTGATCCCAAAAATGCCAAAGCATTTGATCAAGAAATAACAACTGCTCCCTCAGTCAAGTTAGCACACAATAAGCTGGCAGACAACAGTCGGGTTGCCAGTTAGTGACACCCTGACATTTATGCCCAGTGCTTGCCCCATTGGACTTTTTTGGGTAATCCAGTATTTTTCTAGTAAGATTGGGTGTCTATACTTTCCATATATACCACATTTGCCATACTTTTATTTAAAATAATCACCTGATAAATACAGTGTATCTTTAACATGACAGGACCATAATCAACTCTCGATGCCATCAGATATCTCCAATATTAAGTAGATTAGAAAGGTTTAGCCATATTTTGATTTAATTTAAAATGGACAACCCAAGCTTAGCTTCGAACAATTAGTACAGTGGCTCCAATTACTGTACACATCTTGTCAAACCTTCAAAGGCTAATATCTTCGCTCGCAACAGAGCATTGTCTATTTTTGAACTATTATAGCAAGAATGGCCAACTCTGTGTCTAAATCTTACATTATGTATTTTTAATGTAAGCTTATTGATTGGGCAGAAGATTTTTCTTGCTTCTTTAATTTTAACGGTTCACAGTTCTGTGAAATTTCTGATAATATTAATAATAAACTTTTGTACTTACAGGCCTCAGAAAGAGGAAACAAACATAAAGCAAGACATTCTCGTAGTAGAAGTTCATCCATTGACAGAGAACATAGCTCACATAGAAAACTAAACAAACACAATGATTCTGGTAAACACAGAGATAGAAGTCATAGAGATGATGAAGAGCAACAGTATGATCCTCATAAAAGAATTAAACAGGAAGCAGTTGATATGACACAACAGAGACGTGATCGTAGACAAAATGATGAAAGACGAAATAGAGCTCGCCGACAGAGAGAAGCGGAAGGTGTGGATACGAATTTTGGTCGACCTGATCAAAATGCACAGGATCCTAACTCTCAACAAGTACCTGAAGATAAAGCTAAACCAGACTTTAAACTGTCGGGTAAATTAACAGAAGATACAAATACATTTCGGGGTGTTGTTGTTAACTATAATGAACCTCCAGAGGCTCGTAAACCTAAAAAGAAGTGGCGATTATATCCTTTTAAAGGAGACACAGAGTTACCTGTGTTACATATTCATAGACAAAGTGCATATTTAGTAGGGCGTGATAGAAGAGTAGCCGATATTCCTGTAGATCATCCATCTTGTTCTAAACAACATGCAGCACTTCAGTTCCGATTGGTTGAATATAAACGCCAAGAGGACGGCTCTAAAGGAAGAAAGGTAAAGCCATATGTTATTGATTTGAACTCTGCCAATGGCACTTATGTAAACAATCAAAAAATTGATGGACAGAGGTATGTAGAATTATTTGAGAAAGATGTGGTTAAATTCGGTTATAGTTCGAGAGAATATGTTATATTACATGATAAAGTTGATACATCTGAGTTACAAGATGAAGAAGAAGAGGATGATTGATGTGTGATGTGTAAATTGTTTAAACAATCATATATCATAATATCATCTGACCAGTGGTCGTATTCTCGTACATTTAATGTAAAAATCTGTGTACATACTTTTTAGTACAGTCTAATTTGTGAGACCACATTACATGTTTAGTAGGCCTATCTGTAGGCTACACTATTAGGGGTGATGATTTTCCGTGATCGCGGAAAAAACGCGGAAATCGCGGAATTGTCCACTCAAAACGGAATTTGAAATCTCACACGGAAAAAGACGGAAAAGCCGATATTTGCTGATACTTAACACAAACTCAAAATAATTTTGCAGTTATCAAAGTATTTCATCTTTTTATTCATAAAAATCGGAAATATTGAATGATATCGCGTGGTTTTGTTACTGTCTATTTTAGTATTTCGCTACTTTCATTTCATCATTTCATTTAGGAATCATAATTTTAATCGAAACGAAAACCCGTCTTTCATGTATCCCATTATAAAATTACTCTGTAGTTTAACTTGAATTAAACATTGTAATGTATATATATGTCTTAAAAAAAACTTCTGTCACTTCATAAAAGTAAAAATCGTTTCATTTACTTCTTATTTTACTGCCGGGCTCGTGACTCGTGTTTATCCGCATTAACCACGTGACATCAGAAATATACCGTAGCCTTGTGAATCCAGCCCTTATTCTCGAAGAAACGGTAGTAACTACGAAGATGTCTGGATAAATCGCGACTACACCTAGCAGCTGAGAAAAATGGCTTCGTCTGCTAAAAAGATGAAACGAGCTCACAAGATGTAATTTTCTGTTATTTAATTCGGGAAACAGGTTTAAAGAATAACTAGTCATTGAACATTACAAGTCATTCACAATTCAACATTTGTTATCATTGGTTTAAAATGATCCGTTTTGTAATAAAAGGCATTTTAAGATGTTTTATTCATTTATTCATAAAATAACATTTTATCTCGAAAAAACGGAATATGGTCAGCTCTGAAACGGAAAATAACGGAATTAAAAATACTTTAAACGGAATTTGCTATTTTCTGAAACGGAAAATCATCACCCCTACACTATATATACATTCTAGACACCATCCTTATCCGTAGCCAAAATCAAGTATAGATATTGTAATAATTTATTGTACTGAACTGTCCACACCATCATCTGTCTTGCAATGTTATGTGGAAATGTATATACTGTTTGTTCATTCTTTCAGGATGCCACATGGCACACAATCATAATCATTCATTCATGTATGAAGATAATTATCGAATTACCATTCCATTAAGAATTTTAGTCATAGGAATTATACATTTATGTTGAAGTGCTGTGTAGCCCAGGATGTCTTATTGGTTAAAGGATATTAGGGGCTCCTAATTAGTCTAAATGTGTACAATTTATATACATTGTTTAATCTGATATGAAGGAATCATGAACTGGATTTTCATAAATCCTAACCCTGTACTGTTTTGTAAATAAATATATGTAAAATTAAAACCAGTTTTATATGATAATCTGGGTAAAATAAAAAATTTCACCACTCTGCTACAAATGTTGCCAGACTACAGATTTCTTCGTTTCAATGCCCATGGACTTTTAGAGTTGATAAATGTATTTAATAGAGTTATATTTAATTCAAGTTAATATATTTGACGGGTAGTTTTTGAAAAGTGGTGGGGGGTACTCTTGATGGAAAGATTGACAAGCGCCGAAAATCAGTAGGGTTTGTCAGATTTAAAAAGATAGCCACGTAACGCATGGAATACACCCACACAGCAGCTTTGTCTCAACTGCAGCTTATCTGAGTGGAAAACTTGGATATTGAGCAAATTTAATAAGTATCTACGATCCTTGAAGAAATCTATTCTCTAGGGTTCATCCTCTTCTGACCCCATTGCTTCCAACTAAATCCAGTGGCTGCCAGGCAAGATACGCCCACATTTTGCAAGAGATGGATAGAGAACAAGCTAGTGACTTTTTTGTATAATCAAGGGACATAATTCAGGAAGTTACGATGCCATATGTGCGAATATCGAAAGGAATCATGATGGTTGGGTTATAAACATGTATTTCAAGTTTCATCAAAATTGTGACTATTCGAGGGTCCACAACCTTGATATACCATATATTTACATTATTTGCATACGAGGGGCTGCCATTTTGTCCGGCTGTTTTGGTCCCATTTACACGAAATTCGAATTCAGCCGTCATTAGGGTGTAACGGTGATATATTCAAACGTTTTCTTTTAAAATCGGAGAAAAATTGAGACCTCTAGAAGGACCACAAGCTAAAAACGCGATTTTTCGTACAATCAAGGGACACAATTCAGGAAGTTACGATCCCATATGTGCGAATATCGAAAGGAATCATGATCGTTGGGTTATAAACATGTATTTCAAGTTTCATCAAAATCAGATCAAAATTGTGGCCTCTTAAGGGGCCACAGCCTCGATATACCATATGTTTACACTATTTGCGTACCAGTGGCGGCGATTTTGTCCGGCGGTTTAGAAGCTGTTCACAGATGGTGCTCTCACCACGGCCTCCGGGAGGTCATTCCATATGTAAACCACTCTCTGAGAGAATGTTCCGCTGCGAACGTCTAGCCTACAGCGATGTTTGTTGATCTTAAGACTGTTCCCCCTTGTTGCGCGGTCACTAGTGATCTCAAATTTAGGTCGATCTGAAACGTAGATCCCATGGATATACTTGTACAGGTCGATCATACCGCCTCTGTTTCTGCGATGCTCCAGAGTGGATAGTTTCAGAGTCGCCAGTCTCTCAGCGTATGGTTTGTCTCCCAGCTTGGTTGCTCGTCGTTGTACGTCTTCCACATCACTACAGAGGGTTTTGTGGTGCGGCTGCCACACCGTATTCTAGGATCGGGCACACAAGGCTCTTGTACAGTTGTACAAAGGGGTCGTTGCTGAGAATGTCAAAGGTGCGTCGAATAATGCCAACAACTCTATTGGCTTTTGCTGTACTTTTTGCTACGTGTTCTTTAAAGGATAGCTTGTTGTCGACATAAATGCCAGATCTTTTTCATGCTCGTGTTCCCCCAACGTTATTGTGCCCAGTGTTCCATCTTGCATGGTGTATACTGCGTCGGATCTTTTACTGCCGAGTTTCAGGATGCTGCACTTATGCGGATGGAAGCGGAGTAGCCAATCCTGCGACCACTGCTGGAGCTTGTCGAGGTCAGCTTGCAAGGTAGTCGTGGCTCCTGGGATGTCACTGCGGGTGAATAACTTTGTGTCATCTGCAAACAGTTTCACTTCATTGGCGCAGATGTTTGGCAGGTCGTTGATGTAGATGACAAATATCATTGGTCCAACGACACTTCCTTGTGGAATCCCGCTCGTCACTGGTGCTGGTTGTGATTCTGCTCCATTCACCACTACACTCTGCTGCCTATTCGTCAAGAATGCCTGGATCCAGTCGAAAACCTTGCCCTGGATGCCATACGCTGAAAGCACAGAATCAAATGCTTTCATGAAGTCCATGTATATGATGTCGACACTTCCTCCTGCGTCGAGAATTTCGGTCCAGACATCCAGCAGTTGCGTGATGCAGGATCTTCCATTCACGAAGCCGTGTTGCTGCTTGTGCTCACCTTACAGAGTATGCATGTGAGGCTAACCAGTCTGTAGTTACATGGTTGTAGTCGACTTACCTTTTTGAAGATAGGCGCACAACGATTGCTTTTCTCCAATCCTGCAGCACTTGTCCATCCTCAAGAGATTTACGGAAGAGTAGCGTAATCGGTCGAGCAAGTATGTCAGCAGTTTTTGACAGAACAAGGGGGTTGATGCCGTCTATACCTGTTCCCTTGGCAGTTGGAATTCGATATAAGAGTAGGCGATAGTGCCGCTGCCCGGGCAAAATTTCCCTCATAGCACACTGTATGGCGTATGCCCGTCTTCATTAGCCCAGTATAGGAGCAGAACAGTAGGACGTTAAACCCCATTTCATTTCATTTCATTTCATTTCTATACCTGTAGCCTTGTGTGTCTTTAGAGTCTGGAGCAATCTCATCACTTTCTCTTCTAAAATCTCAAAATCCTCCAGGGTCGTACTGTACTCAGTAGCTGGTGGGTTAGGGAGGGGGCCATCATCTTCACGAGTGAATACGCTGTGGAAGAAATTGTTCAGTAGCTCTGCTTTTTCTTCATCTGATGCTGTTCAGATCGGAGTCGTTCAAAATCTGCCTTTGGATAGTTGATCCGTTTCTGCTCTGGCGGCTTTGCTTTGGAGTGGTCCAGTATGATGAAGAGAGTAAAATGGTCACTTTCCCCATTCCAGGTGCTACTATGATTTCATCAACCAGATCCTCACGATTTAAAAAAACCAAGTCCAACACATTTGATTTTTCCCCTTCTCTGTATCTTGTAGGCTCTTTTTGATGTTGCACTAGGAATGCATCCTGGGTGGCTGTCAGAAAGAGTGTTGCTGGCTGATCTAGACCTACTTCACTGATTTCCTGTTCCCAATCAATGCTTTTGAAGTTTTGAAATGTAAGTTTATAATCCAAAGATCTTGGTTCCTTTCAATATTCGTGCATATCGGACTGTAACTTCCTGAATTATGGGCCTTGATTGTACGAAAAAGGTATATCAAGGTTGTGGACCCTCTAGAGGTCACAATTTTCTTCCAATTTTGATGAAACTTGAGAAACATGTTTATAATCCACTGATCATGATTCTTTTTGATATTTGCGCATATCGGATAGTAACTTCCTGAATTAGGCCGCTGATTGTACGAAAAATCGCGTTTTTAGCTTGAGATCCTTCTAGAGGTCACAATTATTATCCGATTAAAAAAACCAAAAAAAAAAAAACGTTTAAATATATCACCTTAACACCCTAAGAATGGTTGAGTTCGAATTTCGTAAAAATCGGACCAAAACTGACAGACAAAATGGCCGCCCTCCGTGCTCAAATAGCGTAAAAATATGGTATATCAAGGTTGTGGACCCTCTAGAGGTGACAATTTTCTTCTGATTTTGATGAAACTTGAAATGTAAGTTTATAACCCAAAGATATTGGTTCCTTTCGATATTTGTGCGTATCGGATCATAACTTCCTGAATTATGGCCCCTGATTGTACGAAAAATCGCGTTTTTAGCTTGTGATCCCTCTAGAGGTCACAATTATTATCCAATTTTAAAAACCGTTTAAATATATCACCATTCCACCATAATGAATGTTGAATTCGAATTTCGGGAAAATCAAAATGAAACTGCCCGACAAAATGTCCGCTCTTTGTACAAGTATGCAATACGATGGTTGTGGACCTTCTAGAGGTCACAATTTTTATCCGATTTTGATGAAACTTAAAACATATCTTTATATCCCAAAGATCTCAGTCCTTTTTGATATTTGCGCATTTCAGACCATAACTTTCTGGATTATTGCCCCTGATTGTACAAAAAATCCTGTTTGTTTTTAGCTTGTTCTCTATCCAACTCTTGCAAAATGTGGGCGTATCCTGCCTGGCAGCCGCTTTTTTTTTTAATCGGATAATAATTGTGGCCTCTAGAGGGACCAAGAGCTAAAAACAGGGCCATAATTCAGAAAGTTACCAAGAAAGGAACCAAGATCTTTGGGTGTGACCTCTAGAGTGTCAACAAGCTAAAAACATGATTTTTCGTACAATCAGGGGCCATAATCCATGATGTTATAGTCCGATACACGCCAATATCGAAAAGAATCGAAATCGGATAAAAATTGTGACCTGTAGAGTGTGGACAAACAAATTGTGGACAGACGGACGTCCGGACGGACAGGGGAAACGACAATATTATACATCCACATGAAAATGTGGGCGTATAAAAAAAACCTGTTAAAACCTACAGCTTCTATCGCATTCACAAGGTTTTCGGCAAAGGGGGATAACTCAGAAACAGAACGCTGCGTATTATGGCCAATATATGTCAAGCCAGATAAGAAAACGATTCACAATAAACTGAATATTGATATTGTTAGTCCTCTCATGACCTGAATGCTTTACATCAAATTTTAAACAAATCCGTCGAAAACTGTATCCTCTATCGCGTTCACAAGGTTTTCTACAAAGGGGTTATAACTCTGAAACGCAAAGTAGCAGGACGCTGAATATTGATAGGGTTTGTCCTCTCATGCTTCAAATCAAATTTGAAATAAATATGTTAAATACTGTAGCTTACATCGCGTTCACAGGGTTTTCTGCAAAGGGGGAATTACTTTGGAACAGAAAAGTTGCAGAAAGCTGAAAATTCTCTCGTTACCTCATCCACAAAGTTTTCAGCAAAGGGTGGATAACTCCGGAACGGTAAGTCTAAGAACACTGAATATAATCAATAAGCTTCTTTCTCTCATGACCACAATGCGTCACACCAATTTTGAAAAGAATCCTTCAAAAACTCTAGACTTTATCGCGTTCACAAGCCAATTGTTGGTGGACAGAGTGACGACATGATACGACCCACACTGAAATGTGGGAAATAAGTCCTGAACGAAAAGTCGCGGAATGTTGAAAATCCACAGAATTCATCCAGGTATGCGAAAAATCGT